CTTAGGCACTTAGAAAAATACGACACCTAGAGAAATAGTAGAGAGAGGCATGCTTGGGAATAGGTTTAGCCAAGTATTGAACCCTGAGCATGGCGAAAGATCTTGCGAGCATCCTCTGAGCTCGCCTGAGCATATGTAAAAACCTCCGAACCACCCACATACATCAACCAACCACAAATAGGAGTAGAGTATTACGCCACAATGCGTCCCGAAACTGCATAAATGTTTGAATCTTGTAGTCGTTGGTGAGGCCCAAAAGAACAGAGCTTTTTAGCCCTGGCCGAACACCAATACAGGATATCATTTATCCCTCATGTAAAAGTTGGTACAAAGTTGGGTCATCTATTTTGAAACAGGGGGAGTTTGTTAAGATAAACCAGCAGAGGCCGGTTTTACCATGGCAGCACTTTTAGGCTGTCACGGCAACGGCAGCATTTCAGTTATCTAGTTTTTATTAGCTCGTAGGCTCACCTGCATTGAGCGTTTCTCGTGGCGAACTTGGTCCTTTCGTAATACTGTAGTAGGATGGCACGAAGCTCTAGGCGGAATCATGGGCCGCTGCACGACCTTTGTAGGCCGAAAGAAAAGGCGAAGAAAGAAACAGGAAAGTCGCAACGTTGTGCGCGGCGCCAACACTTTGTCTCGTTTGTGTGTGCGCGCGCTCGCCGTGATCAGCTCCGGCGAGCTCGTTCCGTTCGAAGCCAGGGACGGTGGTGCCCCACTGGTTGTAATCATGATGACCGGTGTTTGTTTGCGACGATTTTTGCTCGGTTTTCGTAATCAACCCGCTCAGCAACTGTCTTATGCTAACTATACATCGATCGATGCTTTCGCCTCTGAGTTCGAAAAAAAAGCTTACAAAAAGGTTGTGTCTCCAACTCGTCTAGGGAAGCACAGATCGAAACGAAAGAAATCAACATTTTCTACTAGACCACGCCAGCAACAAAAGCCATCACCATCAGAGCAGCCGCGATGCGCCGGCGAGCCGTGAACCAACGGCTACCGTGCCGATGTGGCGGCGGCGGCGCGGCCGCGGTTGAGGATGGACTTGATGCGCTCCAGCTTGAGCTCCTCCCGGAACTGCCGGATGAACCGCTCGGCTTGCGCGTTCACCTCCGCCTTCTCTTCCAGCTCCGCGTACGCGCGCCGCTGGACGATCTCCGCCACCTTCGCCGGCCCCCGCTTCCTCGGCCTCTCCGTCGTAGCACCCTTGGGGGCGGCCCTGGCTGGCGATGGCTCCAGCGCAGGCGCGTCTCCCAAACATCTCGACACCTCCATCCGTGTCTCTGCTTCTGCCTTGACGCTCCCTGACACAGAAGCCGCTGAACGTACTTCCGCTGCTGCTGCTGCATCAGGATCGCTTAATGTCGACGGAGCCACGGTCGCCGCCGCCAGCCTTTCCCTTTCCCCCTCCGGCAGGGCTGGCTCCGGCTGCTTCACCGCGTGCCCGACCTCCTCTCCTCCCTCTACTTGCGACGACGTGTAGTACTCTTGCACGTGGTGGAGCTGCGACAGCGACGGCGGCGACGCGAGGCCGCTGCCGTAGTCGTGCTCGGGCACGGAGTGGAAGGCGGCGAAGACGGACATGGAGCGGAGGCGCTCCATGACCATGGACGACGCGCTCCGGGTGAGCCTCCTCCGCCTGGACATCGGCTCGTCGCCGCCCTGCCGCCAGGATAGGACTGCCACGGCGCCGACGACGACGTTGAAGAAGAGGAACCACGCCGCGCCGGAGCTGAGCCACGGCCAGCACCAGGCAGACTCCGCCGCCATGGGATGAATCTTTTACAGTACAGGTACACGTACAGCGCACAGCACCTGCGTCCCGGTCTGGTTTTGACCACCTTGTTGAAGGCTTTCTTTCCAGCGAGATAGAGATGCTGGCCGTTGAGTGAGGAGTGAGGAGTGACTCAGTAGACAGCGAGGAGTGAGGAGTGAGGAGTCAGAAGCACACCAGTGTGGTGTATATATAGCCATGTAGGAGTACAATAGGCGCGTACAGCGACAGCTACTTTAAGCTTTGTTGATTGATGCTGTCTGTAGAACCATAAACTACGTCCCGTCTCTACGCGTACAAAAGCTCTGTGGTAGTTAAGCACGTGTTCTTCATGAAAATGGGCGATTTCCCACACCCCAAACCGGCTCGGTTGCTTCACCCAGCGGCCTGCGAGAACATTCCCCGCGGATTAACTAGCAGGGTTAATTACTCTTCTCTACACATGGCCGGACGTCGGTTGGTTTGCAGTGCCGGTTGCTTAAGTTGGTCCCCTCAAAAAAAGCATACTCCAATAGGCTTTATCATACCATAATTTGTTACTCGGAATGGTGCCGGTTTGACGCATCAGTTCCTATCGTTTCGTTCACGTTGCTTTCTCCGTCCCCACACGTCCTCTCTTCCCTTCTTTAAACGCTCAAAATGCTTCTGATTATGCTAAAGAAAGAAGTGAAAGAGCCATATGAACCTGAAATTTCTACTTCAACGGCAGGCAACTTTGTAACTTTGTAACTTTTGGCTACATCAGTAATTCATTTCAAAGTAGCATGATCACCACCGCGTTTGACATGTGCCCTATCTCCGGAAAGATACAATAAGAATTGGTATTGTATGTTTACACATACCATACCTCCTATTGCATCACAATCCAAGAATTAGTCTCTACAACTCCCTTCGTTCCTAAATATAAGTCTTTTTAGAGATTTTAACTAGAGTGAATGTACACTCTAAAATATGTCTGTGTACATCCATATGTAGTTCACATTTCAAAATCTCTAAAAGACTTATATTTAGAAACAGAGGAAGTACCTGCTAGGACTAGGTGCGAGTCGAACGAGTCACTAGACGCTCATAGCCGTAGGTGAAACCAGACTGTCCACGGACATAGGGTATGCCCTCTGACAACGTAACATTACACACCAACATAAGGTTTGAGGTTCAAACAACTCTACATACATTTTTTTTTTCTTTTTGACTACGGGCATGTCCAATGCAAGGGCTCTTGCTTGGACGGCATTAAAAGATGATGGGTTTTAGCCTGTACTAGCATCTACGCAAACGCAAACAACAGATCTCAGACGCAACCCACGGGCGAATTGCTCCGAGCATCAGCCTCCAGTTCGAGCAACAATACCGAAACTGAGACCGGGAGCGAAGCCTGCACGGGCAGAACGGCTCCTGGCGCCTCTACTTGCCAACCACACTGGACATGGCCCGACACGTCTTCATAACCTGTGCAACATACATACTCCTCCGTTCCAAAATAGATGACCCAACTTTGTACTAACTTTAGTACAAAGTTTCAACTTTGTACTAAAGTTAGTACAAAGTTGGGTCATCTATTTTGGAACGGAGGTAGTAGTGTAGTACAGCCCGGTAGTGTACAGCAGTGAGATTACACACAGAGAACGTAAGATAACAGTTTCACAGCAAAGTGAGAAGCAGGGCACAAACCCCCAGTATATGTAACACTAAACGTTGCTGCTTCTTCCTATGCTCCTGAAATCTCTAGTGTACACCAGAAACACAAAATCATGGCTTTTTACTACCGTCCGGAGGTGGTACCTTCACACCCATAAGTCCAAGCAGGTTCGAGGCCGGGCCAGGAAGGCCCTGCTGAGACGAGTACGAGTTAAGGAAGCTCTCCACAAGGTTCAAGTTCACATCAACTGGGGCCATCTCCCCATCATCACTATCGGCATCATTCGAGGGACCCTGCAAGGCGAAACAATAACCGAGCACCGGTTAGGATTTGGTACCGGCATCAAGTTTGCAACTGAGAAATTGATATGACAGAAGTGCACACGTCAATTTCTGTTCTACTCCGTAGTTAGCAGATACAACGCCAACACTGACAAGCAAGCTGGATACACAATTGAACCTGGGCTATCTGGGAGAACAGTAATGTACAAACAGAACACCTGAGATTATCTACTTTCATTTACTGATTTATCCTTGAGTAGTTCTTTATTTGCTATTAACTGGGGAAAAAACGACGCATGCAGCTAAATTATAGAATTTGTGGGTTTGGACAGTTTGTTAAGCAAATCTGATATCCAAATAGTCAAATCATGCGCATTTATGTGTTCGAACATAGCATGACATATTGACATCCTTCACATCCTTACATGTTCGTCGCATGGTAGAATATATTAGTCACTTTTACCACTAAAGACTCTTAATGTTTGATGAAGTTCTAATGGAATCTTCATGATTTTTAACCGAATGAGTATGTGTCTGCTGAGATCTGCTCTACATTTAAACCCCCACATGCTAAACATGCAATTTTAGAATCTGCCTTTTTCAAAATCACAAATTCCAATTATTTATTCATTTTCTTAAAACCTACCCTACAAATAGTGTAACAACTAACAAGCTAACAATACTAATAGTTTATCAAAATTAATAAGTTCGAACAAGCAGTCCACAAGGTAGTGCCCTGTCCTGAACACAAGATGGCAAGAAGAAAGCTTACAAGGCCCAAAAGGAAGTTTACCTCACTGTTGGTGCTAGGGCGTTGTGCTCGAGAAAAGGTTTCCTCAATGGTAGTCTTACTTAGCTCGTCATTCAAAGCATCTGAATATGATTCCATGAAAGAATCATCCATATCCTTTTCACCAGCTTCTTCAGTAGAATCATTATCGAAATCAGAATCGTCTGCACCATTAAAACCACTTTTAATTTCTAACACGCAGTTCACGGCAAACAAGAATCCCTAAATCAAAGTGGTGACTAATGCAACAAAGATAGGAGAATACTGTGGAAAACTGAATTAAATAAATGAACATATATATATTACTTATCAATTTATCTATGAGAAGGTAGTCAAAGGATACAAATTAAAACCACGACAAGAATTATGGAACGGAGTACTGGCTAACCATGTCCAAGCAAGATACTAATGAGGAAATGGGAACTGGAAGAAGGGGGCATACCAAAGTCCATGTCAGACGAGGAGGATTTTCTACCAGCTTCAGTATCATGGCCAGCTTCCTCTTGTGAAGCTCTTCCTAACACCGACTCCATGGCCTTAAAGAACAGGTTGACATCAAGGTCTACTGTCTCCGTGTCTTCCCTACATGAGTGAAATTAATAGATCAATACCAAATAACCAATTCAGTTGAGAAGGTGCATAATTAAATGGCTACAGCAAAGAAGTGTAATTATACCCAGATTGTTACACACGACAAGTCCTAGCAATATATTTCATCTCTAATGTGCTAGATAAATAATGTCATGTAGGCTCTCTGCCAGGGAAATAATCCCTAATCGCATATTACTTCTTTGAAGTCATTTATGCTCAAGGGACTGATTACGTGAAGAATCATCCTCTAAGAAGCAATTGCACAGGTATAACTGCTGATCTATTGCGCACTGAGAAATGGAGCTACTACATCTAATGGGAAGAAGGCATAAACCCTGATAGTGCTCTGTAAAAGCAGCAACCAATGTTCTTTTCTCAAATGTCAGGGTTGATAAGCTGTGAAACATGAACCAGAACATGTATCCAACGCAAAAAATAAAATAAATAAATCATATTATAAGGTTGCACTATAGTGTTGTGTTTACATGAATTCCACCTAGTAGAAATTAAATTCAGCATAGCACTACCTCTCTATCTAAGCCTCTACCAGTTTGCATTTCACATTTTTCATCTTTACTTTCTGTTCAGTGTTTCCAGATGTCATACACATTTCACCGAAATAAGATAAAGTTACTTAACATGCAAGTTAGTGCATTTTGATTCCTGTTTGACAAAAGATTATATCTGTACATACAGATGCTCAGACTAATATGTTTCATCCCATGCCTCTCCTTTCTAATGGTGGTATAAACTTTGAACTTCAGGGCCAAAACGTAGGTACAGAAAGAAAATAGTGTATGATCCTGATGTACATACAACGGTAATTATTTTAACAAGCAAAGGTAAATTATTCAAAAATATGAGCAACTGAGAACCAAGTGCACGTCTGGTTGTTGTGCAGCACTCTGGAATAATTTGCTAGGGATAAAAATAAAGATGCTTTCAACAAACTGTTACTAAATGCTTCTGAAAGGCAGATGCAGATGCAATACCAAAAGGAGCCTAAGCATTGAACAGAGATTACAAATGAGTCTATAAGAGAACCTGTTTGTGGGAACTTCAGCTCCCTCGAAGCTTGACATTTTGCGAACAAATTCTTGCATGGAGTCTGTGATTTCTCCAAGATTAAACTCGTTTGGCTGGGAGCTTGAACTGCTGGAGACATTTTGCTTTTGACTTTTTCTATTCTTCTTCACAGCCGCATACTCTTCCATTTCCTTCTGCCTTTCATGAAGTTCAGCATTCAATTCATCCTCCCCATTACGCAGCCAAGAATCATCATCACTTGGGGGAAGATTAATGCCTTGAAAATCTTCTGCCGAGTACGGCATCGCAAGGATTTCATCAATTCGACGGACCGGTGCACTTAGCATCTCCCTGTAGAATACCGCAGAAGTATCAGAACACTGCCAGAATTTCATATTATAGATGACTATTGAGTTCATGCCTATTAAATCAGGTAGCCTGAAGAATTATGTTGGATAGCATTCACTACTGTCCATTACTGAATTCTGTTAGTTCTCGCCTTTGTAGTTGCAGAAGAAACAGATAAATGACAATCCAGCCAGACATAATTAATTTTTAAGGTCAAAACTAAAGGAATAAATGGTAACATACTGACACGCTCCGACATAGCTAAATCCACAAGTATGGGCTACAAAAATTACCTTGTTCGCGAGAACGAACTCGAGCTCTTGTAATATTGCATTGCATCCTCCATGATCCTCTTATACTCCTTGGAACCAGGAAGCAACCCCTGAAAACAGCCAGTCGCCTCCAAGCTCTTCTTGTAAACCTCCCATGTGCTCCCCATTCCTTCCTCCGCCTCGTGCCGCCTCTCCTGGTACATCATCTCGAACCCACACGCAATCTTCATCCCCAGCTCTGCCTCCATCCACTTGTCCGGACCCTCCTCGCTCCTCGGCATGGGGTAACCCCTGGGCGCCTGGAAGCTCTGCTGCATGAGCTGGCCATACATCGCCTTCGTCATCCGCACGGACGTCCTCACCATGTCAACCCCTTCCCCGCCGGGGCCCATGAGGAACTTGTCCATCCTCGCGGCGTGCTTCATGGTGTCAATGTCCCGGTCGTAGAACCCCTCGACCGCGCGCGCGATCAAGCAGGGCTCCTCCTTGAGCACCTTGGCCACGGGCGCCGGCACGGTGACGCGCGCCGTGTGGAGGTTCTCGGCGGCCCTCTCCGGCATCCCGGCGATGCGGCGTTGTATGGCGGCCTGGACGGCGTCGGAGGCCCGGGTGTCGACGGAGTCGTCGTGGACGGCGGCGAGGGCGGCCTGGAGGGAGGGCGTGTCGGGGAAGAGGGAGGGCGGCAGGATGTGGAGCTCGCCGCGGAAGATGAAGACGCGGTTGGGGGCGGTGTCGGGGTCGAGCCAGCGCGGGAGCGCGAAGGCGGCCTCGATGAGGAGGAAGTCGCCGTCCGAGTCCCAGGCGCGCGCGGCGAGCCCCGGGAAGGCGCGCGTGAGGGCGAAGAGGAGGGAGACGGCGAGCCACTCGTCGGGGAGGGAGTCCCCGAAGCGGAGCGCGCCGTGGAGGTGGGGGACGGCGGGCGGCGAGGCGCAGGCCGCGCAGGGGCCGGCCGGGTCGGCGGGGAGGGAGAGGGTGAAGGGGTCGCGGTGGAAGAGGTGGGTGGAGAGGAAGGGGGCCAGGTGGGAGAGGAGGGAGAGGTGGAGCGACTGGAGCGAGGCGAGGAGGGCCGGGGCTGGGAGGCCGGTGGGGAGGGGGAGAGGGTAGACGGCGTAGAAGAGCGTGTCGTCCGGCGGTCGGCGGCGAGGGAACTGGAAAGGGTTGGAGGCGGCGGCGGCGGCGGCGGCCATGGGGACTTGGGTAGCGGTGGCGGGGAAAGGGCCTCTCTGGTTCGGCGGTGCGCGAGAAGGCGCTAGATGGGTTTGGTGATGATCGACTTCGGCGGTGCGAGAAGGCCCGAATGGGATAATCGGCCCATCGACTCCGGCGACTACCGCCGACAGCACCGAACTGTTGTCCTAAAATGCCACTCAAAAAAAAAACTGTTGTCCTAAAAAAATTCTCAAAAAAAAACGAACTGTTCGCTATTAGTTCTTGTGTAGCGCACACCAAAATGAAATTCAATGAAATACGACCGTAAGAAACTCCTCTAAATATGATTTTACGGGGTGTCTATATAATTGAGGGGAGGTTGACACGTGAGCTGCTTTTGTGGTTCTTGTAAAAATATTGCACTAATAGTTTTTTTAATTTATCTTCAAATTAATAAATGTACAAATGGCATATGCATGTCAATTCTATCAACATAGTGATTCAAAACAAAGTTATTCCAACACACATAATTCAACATTATTTCAAAACACAATATATGAAATATGATCTGGGTGAGCAAATCATCAAACACCTTAGGAACGAAAAAAATGACGGTTGGTCCAGCGAAGCGGCGATGTCATGCACGGGAGGAGGCTGGCTGGAGCGGAGATGGGACGGGCGACTATCGGCGGTGAGAGGAAGTCGGCTGGTGCTGGTGCCGGTTGCTGGCCGTCGGCCATCGGTAGGTAGGAGGCGGGTCGCCGCAGGGACACACTAATCAGCGTCGGGGGTGCTCGGCAGATGGTCGGCGGCACGAGGAGACCAGCGTGCGCGCGAGCTGTTTTCCAGTGTTGGCTCCTGCCACATTTACGGGAAATTATACGGGAAGCTTCATCTCCCCCTAGACGGTGGGGGTGATGCTTATTCAGATCCTGTGAATTGTTTTATGTTTTACGAAAATTGTTGGAGCATTTTTTTTGGTCCCCCCCCCTAAATCGGAAAAAAGGGGGATAGAGGAACTGTTGGTGATGCTCTTGCACTTGAGCTCCAGGGAGCACTTAATTTAAACATAAAAAAAATCCAGGTTTTCGAAAAAAAAACGGTTATGGTTTTTTCGGGGCGTTAGAGTAGAATCTAGGCTTGATTTTGAATTAGTAACGTGCATGTGTAGTTTGTGCCTATATTCGATTAGATTTCCACGTCCTAATTTTGCATTGCTATGAATGTGAATTGTGCACAGATTGTAGCAACGTGCATTTTGCATTGTTACGAATGTGCATTTGGTTGATATGTTTCATAGATAAACACTGATCTTAGCAATGTGAGTATGCTTGATATGCTTCATACATAGGCACTTATCGCAATGTGGGTATGCTTGATATGCTTCTTACATACATATCTGCTTCAATGTAGGATCGTAGCTATGTGCTTCAATGTAAGATCATACCTATGTGATTCAATGTAAAATCATAGCAATATAGGATCATGATGTAGGATCGTAGCAATGTAGGATCATACATATGCTCTATTTTGCTTGTGTTATGATACTCACCCTTGCTACTTAACTGACAAGGTGATGAAGACAGAGTGGGGCGTCGTCGGTGGTGGCAGACCTCCATCAGAAGGCGGGAAGGACGTGAATCCCTGATAAACGGTGGGCACATAGGATCCTCGTGCTGGGAGGAGGGAAGCGCGGGCGTTGCCTCCACCAATGCTTGGTCGCAAGCCCAAGCTTGGGCACAAGCTAGTAAAACCAGTGCCACGCCAGTTTGACGTGCAAATCAAGAACAAGGAGGACACCACATTACTCATGGTTGAGGGCTTTATAGAAGGTGTTGAGGGGGTGGTCCGCGTCCGTCTTTCACATGTTGTGTCGCTCTTCGCCACCCCGTGGTATCAGACCTGGGTGCAGGTCCAAGAGTTCAGCACCGAGGTCATGCTGCGGGGCTGGACTTGAAGGAAATATGCCCTAGAGGCAATAATAAAGTTATTATTTATTTCCTTATTTCATGATAAATGTTTATTATTCATGCTAGAATTGTATTAACCGGAAACATGATACATGTGTGGATACATAGACAAACATATAGTCACTAGTATGCCTCTACTTGAGTAGCTCATTAATCAAAGATGGTTATGTTTCCTAACCATAGACATGTGTTGTCATTTGATTAATGGGATCGCATCATTAGGAGAATGATGTGATTGACATGACCCATTCCGTTAGCCTAGCACTTGATCGTTTAGTATGTTGCTATTGCTTTCTTCATGACTTATACATGTTCCTGTAACTATGAGATTATGCAACTCCCGTTTACCAGAGGAATACTTTGGGTGCTACCAAACGTCACAACGTAACTGGGTGATTATAAAGGAGTACTACAGGTGTCTCCAAAGGTACATGTTGGGTTGGCGTATTTCGAGATTAGGTTTTGTCACTCCGATTGTCGGAGAGGTATCTCTGGGCCCTCTCGGTAATGCACATCACTATAAGCCTTGCAAGCAATGTGACTAATGAGTTAGTTGTGGGATGATGCATTATGTAACGAGAAAAGAGACTTGCCGGTAACGAGATTGAACTAGGTATTGGATACCGACGATCGAATCTCGGGCAAGTAACATACCGATGACAAAGGGAACAACGTATGTTGTTATGCGGTTTGACCGATAAAGATCTTCGTAGAATATGTAGGAGCCAACATGAGCATCCAGGTTCCGCTATTGGTTATTGACCAAGAATAGTTCTAGGTCATGTCTACATAGTTCTCGAACCCGTAGGATCCGCACGCTTAAGGTTTTGATGACAGTTATATTATGAGTTTATGAGTTTTGATGTACCGAAGGAGTTCGGAGTCCCGGATGAGATCGGGGACATGACGAGGAGTCTCGAAATGGTCGAGATGTAAAGATCGATATATTGGACGACTATATTCGGACTTCGGAAAGGTTCCGAGTGATTCGGGTATTTTTCGGAGTACCGGAGAGTTACGGGAATTCGCCGGGGAGTATATGGGCCTTATTGGGCCATACGGGAATAGAGGAGAGAGGCCGAAAGGAAGGAGGCGCGCAGCCCCCCTCTGGTCCGAATTGGACAAGGGGTGCGGCCCCCCTTTCCTTCCTCCTCTCCCCCTCTTTCCCCCCTTCTCCTACTCCAACAAGGAAGGAGGGAGTCCTACTCCCGGTGGGAGTAGGACTCCCCTTGGCGCGCCCCTCCTAGGCCGGCCGCCCCCTCCCCCCTTGCTCCTTTATATACGGGGGCAGGGGGCACCTCTAGGAACAACAACACAAGTTGATCTACGGATCGTTCCTTAGTCGTGTGCGGTGCCCCCCTCCACCATATTCCACCTCGGTCATATCGTCGCGGAGTTTAGGCGAAGCCCTGTGCCGGTAGAGCATCATCATCGTCACCACGCCGTCATGCTGACGGAACTCATCCCCGAAGCTTTGCTGGATCGGAGCCCGGGGATCATCATCGAGCTGAACGTGTGCTGAACTCGGAGGTGACGTACGTTCGGTACTTGGATCGGTCGGATCGTGAAGACGTACGACTACATCAACCACGTTATCATAACGCTTCTACTTACGGTCTACGAGGGTACGTAGACGAACACTCTCCCCTCTCATTGCTATGCCATCACCATGATCTTGCGTGTGCGTAGGAATTTTTTTGAAATTACTACGTTCCCCAACAGTGGCATCCGAGCCAGGTTTTATGCGTTGATGTTATATACACGAGTAGAACACAAGTGAGTTGTGGGCGATACAAGTCATACTGCTTACCAGCATGTCATACTTTGGTTCGGCGGTATTGTGAGATGAAGCGGCCCGGACCGACATTACGCGTACGCTTACGCGAGACTGGTTTCACCGTTACGAGCGCTTGTGCTTAAAGGTGGCTGGCGGGTGTCTGTCTCTCTCACTTTAGCTGAATCGAGTGTGGCTACGCCCGGTCCTTGAGAAGGTTAAAACAGCACCAACTTGACGAACTATTGTTGTGGTTTTGATGCGTAGGTAAGAACGGTTCTTCCTCAGCCCGTAGCAGCCACGTAAAACTTGCAACAACAAAGTAGAGGACGTCTAACTTGTTTTTGCAGGGCATGTTATGATGTGATATGGTCAAGACGTGATGAGATATAAGTTGTTGTATGAGATGATCATGTTTTGTTGAAGTTATCGGCAACTGGCAGAAACTCTATGGTTGTCTCTTTGTTGCATAAGATGCAAGTGCCAAATAATTGCTTTACTTTATCGCTATGCGATAGCAATAGTTGCAAGAGCAATAGTTGGCTAGACGACCATGTGATGACACATTGATATAGATCAAGATGATGAAGATCATGGTGTCGTGCCGGTAACGATAGAGATCATGACAGTACTTTGGAGATGGAGATCAAAGGCGCAAGATGATCATGCCATATCATGTCACATATTTTGATTGCATATGATGTTTATCCGTTATACATCTTATTCTGTTTTGTTTGACGGTAGCATTTTAAGATGATCTCTCACTAATTATCAAGAAGTATTCTCCCTGAGTATGCACCGTTGCGAAAGTTCCTCGTGCTGAGACACCACGTGATGATCGGGTGTGATAGGCTCTGCGTTCAAATACAACGGGTGCAAAACAGTTGCACACGCAGAATACTCAGGTTAAACTTGACGAGCCTAGCATATACAGATATGGCCTCGGAACACAGAGACCGAATGGTCGAGCGTGAATCATATAGTAGATATGATCAACATATTGATGTTCACCATTGAAACTACTCCATCTCACGTGACGATCGGACATGGTGTAGTTGATATGGATCACGTAATCACTTAGAGGATTAGAGGGATGTCTATCTAAGTGGGAGTTCTTAAGTAATATGATTAATTGAACTTAAATTTATCATGAACTTAGTCCTGGTAGTATTTTGCAAATTATGTTGTAGATCAATAGCTTGCGTTGTTGCTTTCATATGTTTATTTTGATATGTTCCTAGAGAAAATTGTGTTGAAAAATGTTAGTAGCAATGATGCGGATTGGATCCGTGAT